CACTCTAGAGGATCCCCTTCACAGATGCGCAAAAGCGTGTCATGAAGGGGGACTCCAATAGTCACCTGGTAGGAAGACATGTGATGGTCACCCACGGGAATTTTAGAGGTTACCGAGGCAGAGTAAAAAGCACAATTGGTGAGAAAAGGGTCTTCGTCGAGCTTGAGGCGCTCCTCCAACGCCCACAAATTTTGGACATCAGTTCTCTACACATCATGTAAGCCCATTCTCTTATTTTTCTGAATCGATACTAATTAGCTTCCAGCGCTGATGAAAGCCTTCAGCACCCCAGGCCTCGAGAGCTTCTTACCGACTTTACTTACCCACTCGAACCAGCACCTCCGCCTGGTACTCTGGCAGGCTTTTTGTTCCCTGGTTACCCCTTGCCAGATTCGCAACCCTCAATCCCATATCCCGCTCCTTTTCGTGCACAGACTCCGGCCATTGCAGGGCCATCTACTCCGCTTCCTAACTTGGAAGATATCCCGATGACCCCAGCTTGGAACCCAAGCTCACAAACCCCACGCCGTGGTAATGATGGTAATTATGTTTCTGTTAGAAAGTCAATAGATACTGACAATTGTGGCAGCCTCTTCTCCGTATTGGCTCAGAGATGGCTGCTTCGCCAACATGAGACTCAGCCTTCGTCTCATCAACACCAAACCTAATTTTCACAAGGGCGAGCACGAAGATAAGTGTGGGGAGTTCAAGGGAGTGGTCGGAGATGTGGTCAAGGTCCAGCTAGGCTTCAAAGTGTTGGAAGTGCCATTTCCATACCTTATACCTGAAAGGCCAGAGTGCAAATCCCAGGTCGTTACCGCATTTACCGGTCCACATAAGGGGTCGCAGTTTAGAATTAAGGAGTTTGGCGAAGAATTTTGTGGCTGCTCGATTTTGAGATCAACAACGCTTTTGAGAAAGGTTGATGTCAAAATCGCCACCAATGAACTGGTAGTCACCTGAGACAGTCGGCGATAAACTACATATACCGTAGATATATTACAACTGCCTTAGAGAGATTTTTTTGTATGTTTTACACATATCTTGATGGCAAGGTATATATTCTTGATGTTATTGCAAGACTTTGAGGCTTGAGATGACTGAACGAACGAACTTGAACACTCACGATTTATGACCAGCTTAGTCAGCTCCAGCCGGCTTCTTAGCCGGAGCTGGAACTAGCCGAGCTGTGGAAGCCATCACTTGGCGGTTCTGGCTGGGCTTCGGCTAAACTCGGCTCGGCTCCTGACTTGAGCTGGCTCCGAGCCGGAGCCGCGGCAACACTAAACAGTAGATATCAACATGAATGGCCTCCTCTGGCTTGACAGCCATCTTGATCATGATGTGAAAAAGTGATGATGTGGCAATAGCAATATGTAAAGTCATGGTATTCCTTCAGCCATATCCCCACATGAACTTATAATAATTATATTTTGAGATAGGACAGTAGGTGCCATTATGAAGGCATAGGATAGCCTTTTCTAATGTGAAAGACAACTTGTGCATGATGTCAAAAACTAATGCAGCAGCATTGGTAATATGTAAGTAAGATCATGTCAACCCTTCAACCTCACCCCCATAATCTGGACAGAGCCAAGAACCCCATAAACTACATGTCAACTACAAAATTTTGTAGTCCCAAAAAGCAGATGAAGGTTTGACATAGCTATGACTGAAACCGAATTACATCTCCTAAAGACTCAGGCAAAATGCAATGCAGCAACTGTAAATTATTTGATGCATACCATATATTGATAGATGGTGAGTATATTTTCATACTTAAAATGTCAATATCCAAAAATTGAATCAAGCAAAATGATGAAAGTTTGAGTGAGTTAGAATTAAAGTCATTCTGGTACAAGTTGCACAAACAAGCATTTGTGCCAAAATGGATTTAGTTATATCTTTCTCAGTTCTTAACCGTTTTTGATGAACTAAAAACCCAATTAAAGGTAATAGACATGGTTACAAGGCTACGTAACGCATGTGACCGTTTAACCGGTTGCAACCGATTTAAATCGGTCTTTGAATGGTTTTAAAAGATTTTTGAAATGAGGCAACTGGCAACTGGACCAACCCCAAATTTGGGCAACTGCAACCGAAAAAAAGACCGGACCATGGTCCGGTTCAGTTCGGTCCACTGGTTTTTTTCGGTCCTATTGACTGGACCTGTAAACACTAAACTTTGTAGTCTAAGTCTGACTTTTGTAGTCTATCAGTAAACCTTGTAGTCTAATTCTGGCTATCAGTAAACTTTGTAGTCTATGTCCGACTTTTTGGTAGTCTATGGTAGTCTATATCTGACTATTATAGTTTGTCAGTGTCAATTTCTTTTCTAGGGCATGCACCTTCCTTTTTTGGTCATTTTCCCATGATACAATAATTGTAGCCCTTTCTTTTAGCTTTCCAAATATACTGAAATCAGGTTGTTTGGTTTTGTTTTCATGGATAAAAATGCAAAAAACAAAAAAAAAACAAAAAAAAGCAACACTTTTGAAATTTTTTTACCTCATATCTTCACAATGGGAGCACTTTAGAACATAATTCAAACAGATTTGGGTAGCTATAGTGTAGGGCTACAACTTTCATTTTTGACCATTTTTGGTAATTGGTCATGTGACCATCATCCCAACATCCCATTATATGGACCCTGATAGGTAAAAACATTCTCCTCTTGGTTTTCTTCACTTTTGGTCAAACCAGGTGATGTTTCCTCTTTGGGATGGACCCTGAAATGGACCCTGAAGGCAGTGCCTGACATTCTGAGGGGGCAATGATAAATGCAGTAGGGTAGGTATGAAATAGCCCAGGCAGGGATATGAGATTGCAAAGGCAAGGATATGAAATAGCCCAAGGCAGGGAATGAAATAGATATGAAATTGCCCAGGCAGGGATATGAAATTGCCTCAGGCAAGAAATGAAATGAATATGAGATTGCCCAGGCAAGGATATGAAATTGCCCAAGCAGGGATATGAAATTGCCCAGGCAGGGATATGAGATTGTCCAGGCAGGGATATGAAATTGCCTCAGGCAAGAAATGAAATGAATATGAGATTGCCCAGGCAGGGATATGAAATTGCCCAGGCAGGGATATGAAATTGCCTAAGGCAAGAAATGAAATGAATATGAAGTAGCCCAGGCAGGGATATGAGATTGCTCAGGCAAGGATATGAAATTGCCCAGGCAGGGATATGAGACTGCCCAGGCAGGGATATGAAATGAATATGAAGTAGCCCAGGCCAGGATATGAAAAGGCAATGAAATTACGCTGGGTAGGCAATGAAATTAAAAGTCAGGCAAGAATGAAATAGCAATGAAACAATGCTGGGTAGACAATGAAATGGAAGGACAGGCAGTAATGAAATTGCAATGAAGTAGTATTGAAATATGTCTCAGGACAGTTATGAAATAGTCATGAGAAGCACTGGTAAAGAAATGAAATACATTTCATAAGTTTTGCCTACTCTTCTCATTTCATAAATTCATTAGGCAGTGTGGATGTCGGTGTGCAGGCACTTGCCTGTATTTTATCATAAAAGTGGTAGCTACTAGTGGCTGCGCATAGTACAGGATGTAAGCAAGACAACTTTAAATCATGAGGAAGGGCTTAGCCTTACTGCGACTTTTCACTGGCATCTTTTTTCCGGCGTACCTTCTGCCCGCACTCCGATCTAAGTGAGACAATATGACGCACCAGCGTCAAAAGTTCCCCGGAGTGTAGCAGAGAAAGAACCTCACGATGTCATTGAATTCAATGCAGTACCATAGTCATTTTCGAGTGGCACATCGCGCATAACAGCATAGAGTAGATGAATATGTAATTGTGTTTAGGCGCTCTAGTTGTGTGTCCGAGTCGGAAGCCAGTTGTTCCTCAAGCCTCATTGGGACCGCTGGGCAAGAATATATCTATTCTCTCTGTCCTCTACCACTGCATGATCTATCAGCATAATTTACCACATCTAACAGCATAACTCTCTAACGAACTGCCGCGCAGTTCGCTCCTCGCACGCGAGTGGATCTGTCTGAAGCTGCTCGGGCTAGTGCGAACGACCTAGAAGACGATCCGAAGCAGGGCGTCACAGTGGTGATGCCGCCGCCCAAGAAACATTCTCTGAAGCACGGCCCATGGGAAGCGCCGACCCGAAACGTAGGGACAGCCAAAGGGCACCCAAGCCAAAGGAGAGACGGAAGGACAGTAGATAAGTAGAGCCGCTGCCAGCACAAGTGGCTACCACCTTTATCATAAAACTAAGGCACTTGCCTGTAGAGCTGTGTGTATAAGTCCACAAGTTTTATGAAAGGCCTTTCATAGGTGTGTCCTGTGTCTTTCTTTCTCATAAAGGCTATGTTCTTCTCATAAGATATAGGCAAGGCCACAGAGTGCTTTTCATAATTAAACCTGTGCGCTTTCAATAGGTATTTCATTCACTGGGTTAGGTGTATTCATTGCCTTTTTCATAATTAATGGTGTGCACTTTCATTGAATATTTCATTAGGAATTTTGA